GATACAATCTGTCCCAACAGCTCTGCGATATGCTAATATTTTCTTCAGATGAAAGGGGAGATGTGTTCAAATACCTGCAGAAATCGGCGATTAATACCAAGTGCACCAAAGGGGAGCTGACGAGGGTGGGATTGGGAGAATGTTAGAAATGAACCGGAAGCCTGTGTGCTTTGGTACTCTGCCTCCTTTTGAGTTTGACACAGCCTTTTTATTAGGCAGACAGACTGCATCCCCGTGTGTTCGTTCACCCAGATGCGGTGTTAGAGCATTAAGGTAGGTTTAAGAAATGGCGCTGATTCTAACAACTGTTTCCTTTATTCCTCTGGCAATCGTTTTCTTTCTTCCTTTTTTTTTTTATTTCTTGTTTTTGAGAAGATCTGCCTACTTAGGGAAACGAATGGACCCATCACTTTTGTCTCTCCTCCATGAGAATGTTACGGAGCAAGCAAGCAGCTTAGCACCTATAATTATTTACTAATTGCCCCTGAAATGACTCAGGCTGCATCTATACAACTCCGAGGCACTAGGGTAATCCCATAAAAACACGTGTCAGATCACTGGTGTCCAATGCACACACTAGTCACAGATGACTGGGTAGACCAGATGTTCCAGCATCATGGTGCCCAGACTTGGAGCCTTCTTTTCTTTCGAGGGTTTCTCTGGCTTGGATGGTTGACATGATTGGTGTGAGAGCAGATAGCCTGGGGCTTTGGACTTCTGTTTTTCTTATGTTCCTTTAACGAAATTCTCCATCCTTAGTTTCTAGTCTTCAGCTAAGCACAGTTTCCTTGTGTGTCAAGAAAAGGCCCTGCATTTGTGTTTTTTGTTTGTTTTGTTTCTGTAGTGCTGGAGATTGTACTCGGGCTTCAGGCTGAACTACATGCTCAGCCCCACCCTCCCTGCTGTTGTTATTTTGAAACAGGGTCTTGATAAGTTGCCCAGGCTGGCCTTGGACTTGGGATCCTCCTGCCTCAGCCTTCCAGAGTATTGGGGTTCCAGGCACGTTCCACCACACCCAGTTTAAGGCCTGGCATTTACAAACACATATCATGTTCTCACACAAGGCACAGCGGCTCCTACTTCTCAATAACCTCACTCATGGCTCACAGCTGGCCCTCACTCTCCTTTAGGGCAAAGTGGGCTTTTCTTTCTTCCTTAGCTTCTTCCTTCTCCTCCACCTCCACCCCATGCTGGAGTCAACTGATGATAAAACAGTAAAAAGACAGAAACTCTGTTACCCTGGGCCACACACCAGAGCTTTGCTTTGCGCCCTTTCCTCCCTGGCAGGTTGCTCCTCTCCAGAAGTGGACAGGCTAAATCTCAGATCTTGGACTTGGCTGCCACCCCAGGATGGAGCTGGGGCCCCCAGGGTAGGCAGGGAGCTGGGAAGGCACGGGAGAGAGTGGAGGTCAGAGGTGGAAGGGAAATAGTCGCCCAGACCACATCCGAAGTGGGTGTTAGTGGGTGGGAGACGGCGTGAACTCATAGAGGTGAGTGGGTCCACCTTGCAGCCTGGCCTAGTGTCTCCCTGGCTGGGTATCCTTTCATACAGAGGCCCTGAGAGCCAAGGCTGCCTGGTGTTTAAGGTGAGGACGTTGGAAACAGGCCATGGAACTGCAGCTTCTCCACTCGCTAGCTGTGCCCTGGGCGGGTGTGAGACAGCAGCTACACTGACTTGTGCCTTCCCCTGGAACACAATGACTTGCTATTCATTTAATATTTTTCAGTACTGGGGGTTGAGCCTCTGCACTGAGCTGCATCCATTGTTTGAGACAGAACCTCACTAAATCACTAAGGTCAAAGTCGGACTCCTCCTGCCTCAGCCTTCCAGGAAGCACTTAGAACTTCTAGTAAGTACTCAATCCACACTGGCCATTGTTATTACTAGAGTTGGCAAAATCCAGAAAATTATATTTTTGTCCAAAAAATGCTGGCTGCTTTCCTTAGCCCTCACCTCTACTCTCCTCTCCTTTTTCACACAGCCTCCCATCTTCTCCCTTGTTCTGACATCAGCCCTCTTGGGGTGGCCATGGGGCCCACATGAGGGAATCCAGTGTCCACGTCATGGCTGGCCAAGGTTGGTCCGTGGTTGGTCCTGGTTTGCAGGGACCAGTTCCATTGGCAATGATCAGTATGGGAGTGGGACGCAATCTGGGCCATATATGAAGATATGAAGAGGAAGCTCTCTAAACATTCATGTTGGAGGAAATTGTACCTTAGGGAAAAACTGACTTTGAAGTGTCTGCATGTTGCACCCGGAGTGGTGGCAACACCTTGGAGACCCAAGGAGAGATGGGCTGGTCAGGCCTGCGACCCGAACCTCCCAAGTCCTTGGGGAGGGCACTGGAAGTTTCTGTTGTCAAAGTTGGTGAAGCTGAGGTCCACTCCTCCCCACGGCCTGGGGTCAGGGAAAGCTTGCTTTGGGAAGGGTCCTGCAGGAGAACCAGCTCCACAGACAGGGCAGAAAGGCACTTACTATCTCCTGCATGGGAGGGGCCTGGCTTGTATTCTTCTCATTCATCGCTGTACCCCGAGTGGCTCCTACTAGCCAGGGAAGCAGCAGGCCCCTGGTCTCTCCAGATCCCTCTGCCTCAGGGGAACAGTGGCTCTGGAGTCACTTTGGGCTGAAGCCCCGGTTGGGGGGCAAAGGAAAGTGCAGAAGCACGGGGTGCCCGGAACAGAAAGCAAAGGCCAAGGGGGGTTGGGGGGGAGCCGGCGGCTGTGGAGCTCAGAGTCACTCTGAGTGGGGCCTGGGTGCACAGCCTGCTGAGGATGTCCTGAGATCCCTGGGCTGACAGCTTCCTGCTCCCCCCATGCCATGGGAACCTGGGAACTGGCAGCCGCTTTTCCTGTGATGCCCTGTAGCGCAGTCACTGAGGACAGGGGTGAGGCCTGGGGCCATCCCACCCCCGGGCTCCTCCTCTGACTCTCAGAAGCTGAGGCTCGGAGCACCCACGGTTACTGGGCCAATGAGCAGGAACGCACTGGAGGCTGAGAGACCTGGCTCCCACACAGGAAGCAACTAGGAAATATAAGCACTGGGGTTCAGGCCTTTTGGGGTCCCAACTACATATTATCTGTTGAAGAAGGTGAGGCCACCTGTGCATCAACAAAGTCTGACTCTGCCCCCAAATTCCGAGCCAGCCTCATTCTCATCCCAGACTGTCCCCAGTGTGGGCACTGACAACACAGGTATGAAGACAGCCTGGCTTCAGCGGTTCCTAGATGTCCTGTGGGTACAGGCTGAACCATGAAGGTGCCGCTGCTCATGGCCAAAAGTGGCAGACGGTGGGTTTGCTCTGCCCAGGTTGTTTCTTCTGTTTGAAGAAAAGCGGTGTGTTGTGCTGTTACCTCCGCCTCGAACGGAGATACAGGGAGATGCAGGGAGATGCATAATCCCAGCACTGGCAACTGCTCAGCGCTCCAGGTGCTTATTATTGGGTATTTTTAATCATTCAACAGCCATTCAAGGCAACAGATAAAGAAACCCGTTGACAAGGCTTCCTGGCTGGTAGATGGCAGAGCCCCAGGATGGAACCCAGGTCTGAGATCTATCCAGTCTCCCCCTACCTGGCTGTCAGAGTCATGGCACAGGCAGAAGTGGGCTGCAGTGTGTGCGGGCTGGACTGCAGGGCCAAGGAGAGGCTGGCAAGGCCAGGGAGCAGCGCCCTCATCAAGAGCTCCTCAGCCTCCAACTTCCTCGCAGGAAGAGCCATGAGAAGGGCCTTGGTCTCCATCCTTACCTGGGGGAGACTTTCTGCGGGGAGAGGCTGGGCTAAAAGGCAATCATTGAAAGGCCTGACGGAGAGGGAGTTTGGCTTAAGAGTCGGTCATTGAGGCCTTGGCGTTGATCATTTACAATCCCAGCCCAGGTCCACTTGCTGCATGTAAAAAATGATGCTTTATTATCGATCTGCAGCGATATTATGCTGTTAATATAAACGTTATAAGCTGCTGACTGTCCCAGGAGGACTTCACAAAGAAAAGACCTAAACCAAAAGCAGTATCATTCATACATAGATTTCTAACAGAATAACCAGAAGAAAGGGATAATTACGTCAGGGTTCCTACTGATACCAACTATAATGAGACAGATTTTTAGGAACGCATAATGCTATAAACATCATCATATTAAGATGAACTGGGGCCAAGGATTTAGCTCAGTAGTGCTGCTGCCTGCCTCACAAGTACAAGGTCCCAAGTTCGATCCCCGTAACCAAAAAAAGATAAATTGTCTGGTGTTAATGGTCACAGCCAAGAAAGTTGAAGCAAGCATTTTGTGGCTTTCTGCTTATTTTTGATTTCGAAATGTATGAAAGTCTCAGAAGAGTTCAAAAAAGAAAGAAAAATGTGTCACATTTCAAACCAACATATTGCATCAAATAAATTAAAGCAGGATTCTCAAACTGCTCGGTAAGTGACAGGCTCAAATGCATTTTAAAAAGGCATCTGATTCCAAGCCCTGTGTGACACCGCCACCTCCTCCTCCCCTCTTGAGCTACAAGACCAGGCCTACCCATCACGAGCACAGGCAATGAGGCCACATGCTCTCCCTCCGAACATGCGTGGTGGCTCCTGTGGCTAAATTACTCAAGGCGTAAATATGTATTGGTTTGATTTGGCCTGGTTATTTTTACCACGCTGCTCTTGATTGGCATTTACTTCTGAAAAGCAGTTGTTTCCTCCTCCTAAGAAAAACCTGTTCAGTCTTAACACAAAAACAGAGAAGGCAGCCCTGCTAATACAGATCCAAAGTTAATGCAAACGTAATTAATATTCCAGGATTTCTGCCGGCGCCATTCATCACAAGCGATGCCATCCCAGGCACAGCCGTGGAACATAGCTTTCAGATCGGCCTGTTCTGAGTCCCCCTGAGCCAGGCGGCTCCAACGTGAGAACGTGATGACAAGGCGTGGAGCCTGCGCTGTGTCATCTCCTGGGCTGACAACTGTGACTGACAGAGGGTGTGGGGAGGGAAAGTCTTTAAAGACCTCTATTACCTTTTGTCCTACTTGGATCTCAAGTTCTTTCAATGTCCGGCAGCAGTTCACTTCATCCCTTCCTCCCCTTCAAAATAAAAATAGAGTATTTTTGTTAAAATGTTTTAGCCAAACATTTGTTAAACACTAACCAAATGGACTTACAGAGATCACGAAGATTTCTAAACAATCTCTTTCAGTATAATGACATTTATTCCCCATCAAGTAGTGCAGGAAGGAAGTGGATTAATCCACCGACGAAGCCCTAGCTATTAGGAGGCAGCTTGGGCAGAAGGGGAGGAAGCAGTGCGTCACCAAGGGTGTGGCCTGGAAGGGTGTATTTCCATCCCTGGCTCCACCCTTTTCTCTCTGCTTCCTGGCTGCCATGATGCGAGCCACTTTCTTCTGCCCAGGCCTTTCCAATATGTCCCTCCCGCCTTGAGGCCAACTGACAATGGTCTGAAACTGTGAGCCAAAATAACCCTCCCTTCCTTTAAGTTATAGGTGTCTGGTATCATGTCCCAGCAATAAGAAAGTGACAATGATTAACTTCATCTCCCTGGGACCCGGAGGTCAGGGACTGCCAATGTTCTGGGGTCTTCAAAGACAAGGAGAATGAAGGTCAGTTGTGAGCAAGGGCAGGTGAGGGGTTCAGACCCAGCTCCGAAGTCCCTCCTGCCACACTGGGCTCTGACACTTCGGGACTCCTCGCCCTCACAGGGGAGGACTTTATAGCATCACACGCATCTGTGTCATCCCCTGGGCTTCACCGAGACACTGTCATTTGCTGGTAACAGCGACAGATGGTAAATAAGGTGAAATAACAACAGTCCGTGAAGCAAATAAAGGCACGCCGGGGGATAAAAAGGAGACGGGGGAGATGGGCGGCTCTTTTGGACAGGATGGGCGCCCAAAGCCTCAGTGACCAAGAGTCATTGGGATGGAGACCCAGGAGCTGAGGGGGATGGAGCAGAGGGGATGTGCAGCCAAGCACTTGGCACATCCAGTGCAAGCAGGAAGCAAGCAGGGAGGCCAGAGAAGTAGGGAGAGCTGCCTTGGCTCAGTTCAGATGCAGAGGAAGAAGACAGGCGCAAGGCACTCTCTGCCACGTAGGGATATGGACTCCAAACTAAGGGCCAAGAGGAGCCATCAGAACATCTGACACAGAAATTACCTTCATGTTACACAGGAAGCCCTTTGGCTCACAGGGGTTGAGTGCTCCGCCCAAGTTAAAGACAGGACTGGTCAGTCATTCAAGTCTCACGATAATATGCTAAGAGTAGTATTGTCATATTGTCTTAATGACATATTCATTCGATGCAAACCACCATAACATACTGTTATGATTTAAATCTGGGGTGTCCTCTACAAGTCGAATGTGTTTGGAAGATGATCAGATCATGGGAGTGCTATACTCATTGGTTTAGCTCATAGCTGATTCACTGTTAGAAGGCAGGGCTGGGCTACAGGCAGGTCATTGGGGGTGTGACCTGGAAGAGCATCTCCCTACTACGTCCTACTTCCTGACCACCCTGAGGGAGAGCAGCTCTCTTCTTCCCAGGCCCTTCCATCAGGCCATTTCTGCCCGGGGGCCAGGTGACCATGGACTGAAACCTCTAAAACCACGAGCCTAAATTAAACTTTCATCAAGTCGTGGGTGTTGGGTGTTGTGTTTCAGCAATGGGGAGAGTGACTAAGACACACAGGTTTAAGAGCTAACAATAAAAATCAAATGCCTGTGTAGCCACCACCCAGATGAAGAAAAGAAACAGTTCAGGAGATTCAGAACTCCAGCAGGACCTGCCTCCTCAGTGGTACCTCCTCCCTCCCTCCACTCCAGCCAGCCCAAGGGCAGTGGAGCCCAAACTGCAGCCCAACTTCTCCCTCCACCTGCACTTTCCTTCAAGGTGGCCCCTAACCCACCTCTCCCTGCAAACTCTGTCTCAGTATGTGCTGCAGGAGGACCCTATCTGTAACTATCTGTTGTCAGATGTTACTTTAGCGACATCAGGTTTCTGTAGATTAGTATTGCATTATATGTCCTTTAAAATCCTTTTTGCTTTTAACCCGTCATGCTTATAGGTTATAGGTTACAGTATTTAGGTTTTTCTCTTACTGGGCTTTTCTAGTCAGACAATCTTTGTCTTTCAAGCAGAATATTATTATAATTAAATGCCTAAGTCTCAAAAATATATTTTGGTGATGGGGATTTAGCTCAGGGGCCCCTCGCCTGCCTGGCAAGGTCCTGAGTTCGATCTCCAGTACCAAAAATATATATATATATTTTGTCTGAAATTAAGATAGCTACTACTAGTTTCATTTCTTTTTGTGTGATATAATTGATTTCCCATCATTTTTCTTTCAACCTACTTAATTCTTTTTATTAAATGTTCTTTTATTTTTCCAAAGCCAGCAGCTGGAATTTTTCTCCAGTCTGATATTCTCTGTCTTTTAACTAGAATATTTAATCTTTTTACATTTAGCATAATGTGCATAGAAGTATAGGTCTATAGATTTTTGTTCTTTATTTGTACTGTTTGTTCTAGATTTTTGTCTTCTTTCATAATCTTCTTTTAGTTTGAATGTCTTTTTAAATCATTTCATTTCTTTTCCCTCCAACTATTTGGAAATTATCTGGGATCTCTTCCCCTTTGCCTTGACCATACCTCATAGCCACGCCCTGCAGGAAATAAATTACGTTGGGTTTTGCCCCAAACAAAATAAGGAGACACTTTTAAAAAAGCAAAAGATCCTTTAGTAATTTAATGTGTACCATACAAAATCAACAGAGTGCCAATACTATGAGTAAATAATGTCAGAGACTAGGGGAACCGATGGTGAAGAAGTCTGTACAGTTTCAGTCTCCTTTTCACCCTAGGAGGCAGATCTGAAACAATCACACAGATGGGTAGGAGCAATGGGCAAACTCTAACGTCAGTCTTTTGTGATGATGTGGGTACTAACAGATATCACAGTTCTGGTGAATCCATTTGTCCCATGGATGTTTGCTTAGGCATATACGAGAGTCACAGCAGATGCACATCCCGCAGTTCACAGTCATTAGATGTTTCTGAAAAGTTTTGATGCCCGCGGTAGGACATCATTCTGAGGGGCGAGCTGTTCTCTGTGGTTCATCTCCATGCATGAGACTTGCAGCGATGCGAGAGCAGTTTACCATCACTGCCAAAGCACTCATAGAGGCTTCCAGCATCCTGTTTGGGGAAGGTGCAGAGGACTGATTCACATAAACAAACAACTGCTCTGAGGCCATGAATGAAAGGAACTTTCTGATGAAGTGAATGAGTCCTTGGATCATTCGCATTTTCTCTACAACCACTTCTCTGTGTCATTACAGAGGTGTCTCACAGCCGTTAGCCAGGAGGCCAGTTTTTTCTTGATGTCGCTGGCATCTTCTTCTGTCTCCAGTGAAACTGCAGCAGAAGAGCCCTCTTTTCGCTTCTTTAAATATATTCAGAGCATCTGTCTGATAGCGCCAATGTTTAAGGTGTTTGGACACAGGGTTCTGTGGCATGTTGTACTTACTGGTTAGTAGTTCATTGTATCTTCGTATGTTTTTAAGATGTGTGTGTGTGTGCGCGCGCGCGTGTGTGTGATCTGATGTTACTTGGCACTTTCTCCGTACACACTCTTTAAGAGCTAGATGGCAAATACAGCATTCCTCTATGGAAGGCACACGTAGTCCAGAGCCACTTTAAATAAATCTCCAGCCTCAGACTTCTCGGACCACATAGGTGACATTAATTCAGACACAGACCTGCATGAGAACCAACTTGTGATTACAACTTGTCCCCTAGTCACTCCAAGGCCAGTGTTGACACAGGTGGGCTTCTGGCTGCGCTCTTCTGTTTGTAATTATTTGCTCACGAGGGTGCCCTTTTGTCAGTGTTTTCCACCTGGGGCCGGCTCCTTAGGCTTTGCCTCTTGTATCCTTTAAGAGAACAACTTACCCTTTTCATCTTAGTCCTGAGATTAAGGTTTCACAGTACGCAACACAAAGCCCCTCCTGCTTTCAGTTCTTCCAGATGTTCAGTTTTTCCAACAGAGACTACTTAGGTGAGGTTAGGATCCACACAACAATCCTATCCCACACACGGGGATGGTTTTAGGTCAAGAGCATGGAGATATAGTCTGTGAGACAAAAGCCATTACTTTGACTGAGCCTGGAAATGATCTTAGCCAATGGCTTAGGGAACATTAACTACATAGCACACATACGTTTCAGACCACAGAGTGTGCCTTAGCCCATTTTCTGTTGCTATAACAGAATACCTGAGACTTGGAACTTAATTATTTTTAAAAGGTATATTTTGGCCCATAGTTCTAGAGACCTGAAAGTTCAAGACCAGGCAGCCTTTGAATGTGGCCCTGGGGTAAGGGTCCTGTGCTGCTGCCACACATGGCAGAAGGCAGAACGCAGGGGCATGCAGAAGACAGAGGACACAAGGGATGTCCTTGTTTTATAGTAGCTGTTCACAGTGGTAACTAATGCGGCCCCAGGACAGCAGGAGTAAGAACGCACTCAAACCACGAAAAAGCATTTTCCTTTCATGAGGGCTCCACCTTCTGACCCCACCACTGGGAACACGAGAGCTCACATCCAAGCAAAGGGGCAAGGACTCTGTCATTCTAGCTAGAGATGCTGCAGTAATTATTTTTAATTGTGATTTTTAGAAAGCACATAACAAAATTTACCATCTCAATCACTGAAGCTCACAATTCAGTAGTGTTAATGTGTTCGCGTTGTTGTGCAAAAGAACTTGAGAGCTTTTTCACCTGCAAAATGGGAATTCTGTCCCCACTGAACATCAGGTCCCCGTTTCCCTCACTGCCCTGAGTCTCACGCCCAAGGTGTGCTGGTGATGGATTCAATCAGGACAGTGATACCAGCAGTACCAAACTTTGCTAACATTTCCGGATCACATTTAATTCTTATCACGGTTCACTTGACTCTTGAGAAAATAAATATTTATGTAGAGTTAGGTAATTAGCAAATATTATATTACTAAAACAGTATTTCCTAAATCATACCCTAGAACCAAAGAACTTTACTGGTTTTAGAGCCATAAAGGACACTGAGGTCATATTCCAACCCCCTCATTTTTAAAACAAAGTGAACAAGCCCCCACGCTCACACTGAAGACATGAAAAGACATGGAACAGTAAAGGAGGCCGTACAGGGATCTTCTTTCTTTTTCTTTTTTTTTTTTTTAATTTGGTAGCAGGGATCGAACTTGGGTCCTTGGGCTTACAAGGCAGGAGGCTGAACCACTGAGCTGGATCCCCAGCCCCAAGGATCATTTTTAACATTCCAGTTCTGGACACCAAAACATCATCACTTTTCAGTGAACAACACTGGCAATGTACACAAGCCCGCAAATTTAAAATCTGGCATCTTAATATTTTACTTCAAAATTAAAACCCGTTACTTCCAAATCTAAAATACATTGTATGCGATGTATTTGTATTTATATTTATCTGATTTTAACTTATTATTTTTACATTTTACTATTATAGCATCACATCTGTAATTCTGAAATATATCCTACACAATTAGAATTTTCTCTAAACAAAATTTTGGCTGAGGATCATGCCCACTCACTTCTATATGGACAAGCTCTACTACCCTATCTATAGTACCCAGGGTTCCTAGGACTGGAGACAACATCCAACAGTTTGACTTGGCTCATGGTTTCAGCAGGTTTAGTCCATGGTCAGGGGGCTCCAAGGCAGAGGCCAGAAGGATATGAGGAATCAAGGCTGCTCAGCTCATGGAAGCCAGGAGGTAGAACAGGGGAACGGTGAGAGGAGGAGGCAGGGACCAGATAGAGACCCCAAGGTCACACCCTCATGACCCACCCAGACACACCCAGAAGCATGCTCTACTAATGCCCTGGGAGGTCCCAAGCCAAGAGTGTGCAGACCGACACACTTTAGCTTAATCGTCGCATCATTTTTCATACAAATACTGTTGATAGGATTCACTCTGACGGCTTTGCATCACAGCTCTTACTCATACTGCAATTTTCATATGAATGAACAAAACACTTACCTCTTTATGGCATTTATATTTAGGTCAATTCCGCCAAACCTGGACAGGAACTCAAGGTATGGTACATTACCAGAGCTGGTGAGAGGGATCTAGACTCCAACAAGAAAATGACACCACGTTAGGGAGTTCAGATCCAAGCACTAGACCACACGGCAGATTTCCAAATCATAGTGTAAGGCAGAAAGAACACTGTTAACAGGATGGCATTCTATTAAACCTTTACAATTACTTATCCAGCTGTCTGAGTTGACATGCATTTGAATGCCAGTCTGTGCTCAAGTGAAGTCAATGAGTTATCTACAAACAAAATCATCTAAAAATCTAAATCGAAAATCTACCTAAAAAATAAAATGAGGAGAAATATAATAATCCATTTATATCTCAGAAGCTGAGGCAGGGCTCAATTTTACACGGTTGAGTGTTGTGTGAACTTTCTGTACAGTCATACTGTTTTAGGGCAAAAAAGTCACTTTTTAAGTGTAAAATTCTGTAAAGGACACTACTGGATCAAGTGGGTCAATTTGAACTGGAGGGTAACTGAAAGTGTTATCTCGATGTTTAATTTACTGAAGTTGGTTAAGTGCTGAGAATAGTTCTTGTCGGGAAATGTGAGATGTGACTGGAAACATGCTCTGTGTTTAAAATAAAACATTACAGTAAAGGACACACTGTAATGAATCCCTCTTAAACTACTGCTCCTAGCTTCAAACACAGTCATCCCATTGTCCTTGCCACTTTCTGAAGCACTTCCGGAAGACCTCTTTCCTGAGTGTCTTTAGTCACGCTGCCATGGCTGCCTTGATGTCTTGAATCAACTCAAAACATTTACCTCCCCTGGTCATTTTGGCTTTGGAGAAGAGCCAGAAATCACCCAATGCCAAATCTGGTGAGTGAGGTGGATGAGGACCCACTGCGATGTTAACACAAGCCTGCTTTTCTGTTGGGTGGTACTCGACAACAGCATTCGCTGTATTTCTTACGACATCTTGTGAAGATATTCACAAAGGAGGACTTCCAAAACTGCTGCAGAAAGTGGCCAGAATGAGGGGGGACCAGTATGTTCAAAGCAAGGGGGATCCTCTGAGGGGTGTTCATGGTAATGTGTCTTTTATTGTAATAAAATTTTTATTTTTATTTATTTATTTATTTATTTTATTTTTTGGTACCAGGGATCAAACTTGGGTCCTTGTGCTTGCAAGGCAGGCTGCAGAACCACGGAGCTAAATCCCCAGCCCAGTAATAAAATTTTTAAGTTTATTTTTTTTCTTTTTATTGAGTTTATTGGTACATCCTAGGTATACAGTACAGTTACATTCATTACTGGGATCTTGTGCCTTTACATGATAGGTCTTGGTTCTTATTTAAAATTTTTAAGTTTATTTTTTTTCTTTTTATTGAGTTTATTGGTACATCCTAGGTATACAGTACAGTTACATTCATTACTGGGATCTTGTGCCTTTACATGATAGGTCTTGGTTCTTATTTAAAATTTTTAAGTTTAAATGTTCGCTGTATATTTCAGTCACCCCTTCTATATACCCTGAATTGTTTGGGATTCACAAGCTGTGATACAAGCAACTTCTCAAATTATTTTTTAGAAAAAGTATTATATATACATGTTGAGTGTGTCTGTACACACACAGATAATGAGAGATCATAGGACAAGCAAACAAGGTACAATGTTCACAATAGGTAAATCTAAGCAGAGCATATATGCAAGCTATTTCTACCATACGGAAACTATTTGTATCATCCTTATTGAACATTTTCTAGAGGTTGAAATTATTTCTAAATAAAAAGTTTAAATTTCTTAATGGAAATATTCAAAAAAGCTTCATGAATGTAGAATTTAAATAAACAATAAGCATATAAACGTATAATAAGTATATATAACTGATTTAAGTATTCAGGTCATAGAGATACACAAAATGGAACCTCCCATCCAGCCGAATGGCTTCCGAGTCTAGGAGATCAGGTTAGATATTTATTCAGAGCCTCGCGTGATTATTTCAGTCTCCCCCAGAGGATTCCTTCCTCTCTACAATTTAAAACATGTGTGACTAGAAAACAAGACCAGAGGGAGGCTGGCTCACCAGGGGCCGCTGGAGAAGGCGTTGCTTGGAAAGGAGGCCCGTGACTTAATTCTGAGAGAGCATTTTCCAGCAGATGTAACTCGAAGTAAACGCCTAGACGTCTCCCTCACATTAGAGAAGGGCAGGAGCGGATGCCAGGTGTGGTTCTAGGCTGGATGCCGGCAAGGTTAAAATAGCCCGGGAGAGGAAGGTAAGCTAGCCCTCGCCCCGCTCCTCCTCAGCAGCAGGGCACAGCGCCCCCTGCAGATTGCACGGGAGCAGCTCTCACTCCACCTGCAGAGGGTCAGGCTTTTTCTACAGCTCCGGACCTCCTGTCAGGCACTGCTGGAGATCTATGAATCCAGAGCCCCAGTTATCCCACTACCGCAAAAACCCTGCCTACAAAGAACGAAAAAGACTATCAAGTGGCTCCATCTTGCCGCATATTTCATATGGATTCTAAGGTGGCCCATAAGTCCTTGTCCCAACTGCTCTCCTAAGTGAAGCCCCCCGGGCAACAGAGAGAATCCAGGCCACAGGGACCGCTCTGCTTGGTGCTTAGCTTTTCGGTACTTGTGTTTATGAATCCAAACCTCACCGAGGCGCGCTGCTTGGAAGCCAATTCTTAGATGGGGCTGGATAGGGTGGGGTGGGTTTGGGCCATTTAAAATCACACCCAACATCTGACAAGTATCCTTCCAAGAAAAACTTTTCTCCAGCTGGGCAAAATCGCCAGGCCCAGAACACAGCTTTTTTTTTTCCTTCTGTGGGATCTATTTATCAATTCGACTTTCAGAGTTGTCCACAGGAACACCCAGAGAATAAGGCTGCACTTACAATCACGTGATGCCCATTAATTTTAACGGAAAGGAAGGAAATGAAGGAGAGGGGCAGGGCACAGGCGAGGCGTCCTTTTCCTCCTCGCCCTAAACAGCCATGAAAATCTCTGCCATCAGAACTCACCTGCCTGCCGTGGCTGCGGGAACAAAACTATAGGAAATTCAAAGACTTGCTGGAGAAAGATTTCCTAACTGTGAGAGTGGATTTGCGCAAAATCTTTTACTAAATTGTGAGCTTCCACTTGGGCCTCCATTAATCTCTGGGAAAATTAGTTGTGTCACCAGGTGGATTTGTCATAGAAAGATCGGGGGAAGCCACACGGTGCAGCCCAGGGAAAGAACAGGGACAGTGGCCCTTCGTTCCCGTGACCTTGGCCTCTTGTAAAACCACCACAGCCCCTGACTGACCACAGGCCCCAACTGGCCACAGGTCCCTCAGCCTGGGGCTCTGGAGAGGCTCAGTGTGCCCATCCTCCCAGTCAGGCTGCCAAGACCTGCTCCTTCACAAGTCTGTGAAGTTCTTTGGTGTTCGGGGACTTCTTTGAAAAGCAGATGTAGCTGTTAAAAACAGACACGCATTTCGTATTTTCTGTACTTTTTCTCTTCCTGCAGAGCTGACTGACTTGGAAAGATTGTCAAAATTGTAAATTCACATTAGATCATCCCTGTAAGGACACGGAGCAGGAAATAACAATTTAACTATCCACTTGGCACTGTGTGTTGGCTACATCGATCTTCTGAGGAACCAGAGGTCACGTTTCACATACGGACAAATGGTCTTTGCAAGAAAGCAAGAGAGGGTGACCTGAGTCAACAACGGCACTCCACAGTGGGCGCCCAGAGACCTAGAAACTCGGCTCACACCGACACCTGCGCATCAGTGGTATCAGTGGTATCAGTGCGCATCAGCGGTAAAGTCAGAAAGTGAAAGCAACCCGAAGTCCGTGCTAATGAAAAGGCAAACACAATGCCCACGCAATGGACTGGTCTCTGGCCACAAAAAGGGAGGGAGGGTTGATTTGTGATTCAACACGAGTGACCCTAGAGCACGTACTAAAAGAAGCCAGATGCAGAAGATTTGTTCTGTGTCACTGGTTCATATGAAACATCTGGATTCCACAGGAACAAACAGATCAACTGTTTCCAGATACAGGTGGAAGGAGAAAATGGGAGTGACTGCTAATGAGTACAGAACTTCTTTTGGGGGATGATAAACTGGCTCTCAAATGAGGTAGTAGTAACACTAGAACAACTGTGACTATAGTAAAGCGTACACCTGGGTGTGGCGATGCACCCCTGTAATCCCAGCACTCTGGGAGGCTGAGGCAGGAGGATGCCAAGTTCAAGCCCAGCCTGAGCTGGGCTTTGTGACCTAGCAAGATTCTGTCTTAAAATAAAAAATGAAAAAACAGCTGGAGATGTACTCAGTGCAAAGGCCCTGGATTCAATCCCCAGTACCAAAAAATAAGTGAATAAATAAAGTTGTTTAAAGCACCGATTTATACATATTTTAAAACGTGAAGTTATTATATTTAAATTACAAACTTAATAAAGCTATTGTTAAAAATAGAGATAACAGATGAGCTTCAGATATTTATATCTAAATGGATGGACCTTGAGACCGTTCTCCTAAGTAAAATACATAGGACACATGTGTTTAAATACCACATTGTTTCTCTGGTGTGAGAAACCAAAAGTGGAAATAAGGACTGAAAATGTAGAATAGATGTTGGGAAATGGGAAGAAAGTGTTCAGATGGACAGGGGAACAGGGAGGAGGGAGGGAGAGAGGAAAAAGTGAAAACAGAAAGAAAATGGAAGCAAAGCTTTTGTACATAGGGAGGGGGGCTTGAGGGGGAAAGGGATGAAATGAAATAAAATTTATATTTAGAAAACAAAAGAAGAAAAATAAAATGGAGATAACAATCAAGTGTGGCATTAAAAAAAGGAGTGTGTCCTATTTGTGAAATTCTAGGAGCAAATAAAGGGGAAAAATTGAAAAGGGAGGAGAAAGTTCTTTGTCTCTCTGCTCCATCCCTAAACCCCCAGTGCTACAGGTGTCAGAGGGGGCAAAGGGGAACCAGGTCTGAGGTGTCAGGCGACATGGTATCGAGGGGGACAGGGCATGGGGGTGGCACTCCCACAGTGGGTGCGGAGGGCGACAGGAAATGCTGATGGTAAGAGAAGAGTCACAGCACAGGAGGTGGAGCAAACGAGAAAACACACCCAAGATAACAGAAGAAACCTCACTCCATGAGGGCAGGGAGAGGGAGACCAGCATGACCCCTGCAGGGTCAGATTAGAGCTGATGGTACTGGTGCGGACTCTGGGTTTTCAGTACATAAAGATTGATGCAGACACACGTGTGGAGATAAGCGGGGCCCCCAGAGCTGCGTCCGCCAGGGGCCCTGGGAGCGGCGGCCTCCTGACGGCACAGCTCGCCCAGTGCCCAGATCCTGGCTTCTCCACGCCTCTTCCACTCCGAGGAGCGGGGCCTCTGGGGTGAAATGGACGATTCTAAGACCTGAGCAAGGAACGTACAGATGCGTGGGATCTCGTAGGAAGCAAAGAGGGGCTCAAGGGATGAGGACGTGAAAGGACGCAGAAACCAGCCTGCAGGGCTGCTACCGGCCACTTTGGGATCATCCACACACCAAAAGAAATAAAGTAATGGACCCACTTACTAGGAAATCTCGAGTTCCTGCAACTATGTAAATAGTAGATGGATAAACTGAAAGCGAGATGAAAAAATGGAATATTTACTAATTCCTAAGTTTTGCCCCAGAATCTGCACTGACAAAGTGACAAAGTGACTACAATAGGTAAAGCTGAGGGCTGGGGATAGCTCAGTGGTGCTGCCACCTGCCTCGCAAGCTCAAGGGCCCAAGTTTGACCTCCGGTACCAAAAACAAAACAAAAAACAAAAATAGGTAAAGCTGAGCAATCCTGTGGCCTCGCTGCTGTGACATTTCTGCCAGAGATGCCAACCTGTGTGTGGCCTCTGGGGAAGCTGAAGGTAATGAAAGATATGCAAAAACCAACTGCGAAGCACAGTTGTGACCTGGATCCTACAAGGCCTTTGTGGGACAACTGGGAAACCCGGCTGGCTTCTTGGCTGAGATTCTAGTGCTGAGTCAAGGCAGTGTCTATCTCTGTGGTTGCATCGTGGCTATTAGAGCACGGCGTCCTTACTCGAAGGAAATTCTAAAATATCTGACGGTAAAGGAACACATTTAATCCCAAAGAGTTTGGGAAAAAATTGCTCTATGTGCCATCATTACAACTTCTCCGTAACTTAATGATTGCTCCAAAGAGATAAGAAACCTAAGAAGTTGTGGTAGAGATTTAGAGTGAAGTCAAAAGTTAGAAGGTACAGGTATGGAGAGAGTTGCCTGCTCTTAGTGGCTTTTAGCCAGAGGGCAGGCCATAGTCCGCACTAGCAGAGGGGCTAAAACCCCAAACACACAAAACTCAAAGTGACCACAGCCGCTAAAAATGTGATTCCTCTCACTTGAGAACCAGAGGAAGAGAATCCCTTTCTGGGTAAAACTCTGTGCATGAGTCTAGCTGGTCACTGATTCATGTCCATGCAGGTCCCACCCAGAGAGGCTCAGCTAAGGATAAAAGGATCGAACGGAGATAGGAGCTATGCCCACTGAAGGCAAGACAGGGTTCCCAAGTCAACTGCTTGTCAAAGCAGAAGAAACTGAAGCAGGGAGCTAGAGACCTGGGGAGAACGGATGTCAAGTCCTCCGAGCAGCCATTCCTGGGCTTAGGTTCCATTTTTGAAGGGTTGGCTGCCATTTTCCTCACCTAATAAGAGAATCCCAACAGTAATCTAAACAGTTTTTGTGAGACATGACGTGTACGGGAACGGCAGGGCCCTGAGGGAAGGTGAAAGAATTTCTCAGAGGAACACTGGACCATAAGAGGAGGGAGTGTGGGGAGGGTTCTGGAAAAGAGTCCCACAGCCAGGACCGGAAGCCAGGGAGGAGCTGAGCCATGGAAGGAGTCCGGAAGATCCCATAAAGGACACAATGGCCATGGCCACAGCACCGGAAGCTCAACAAAAGAGCGGCTGGTGGGATTTTCTTGTCCAGGAATAAGATACTCATGCCTCTCTAAACAATGCCTTTGTTCTGTTTGTGCTGATAATTTTAGATCGGTGTAGTCTTTTTTTAAAAGAAAAACCTTAGACAGGGCATCCCTGTGCAACCTGTGTGGGTCTTCTCCTGGGACCCAGGGGCTTTCTACTTTTCCTTTACGATAAATGCCGCTTTCTGCTTTTGCTCTACAATAAATACTCTGGTTCAGTTTTCCTCTGACTCTGCCTTATAATTCTTTCCGGGTTCAGACAAGAGCCCGCCAGCCAGATGGTCACAGAATCCACAGCCCTCGGAGGTCTGCGGTGGACGCAACTCTCCACAGCGCCCCCTCATGCTCAGCACCATGGTGGCAAAGGAACAGGTGGTCAATCTGAATGATTTACCAAAACTTTTTTTATTAACTACTTTAAAATTTAACAATTATATTGATTCAGCTATTGGAAAACATTTAAGTATGTTGGGAACAGATGAGTGTGTGAATCTGCTACGGCAACTGTAAATTTTATGAAATCACAATATTAAGTATTTCAAATGAAAATGTAGTTGTCTGGATTGAAGTTGTCTAAAGTGGAAAGTATCTGCCACGTTTGAAGACTTAACACATGACAAGGATGTTAAATGTCTTATTAACAATTTTAAAAGCGATTATATATTGAAATAATATTTTGGATACAATTGGTTAAACCATCATTAAAGTTAATTTCACTAACTTTTATCTTTTAATGTGGCTACTAGTACATTTTAAAGCACACATATGGCTCACATATATTTCCTTTGGACAGATCTGGGCTGGGATATTACCCAAATATGCTCAAATATAAACCACAGAAATATGACCCTTCTCAGAGAAAAAGACAATCCATCCAGGTCAACTCTGAAGTGAACGTGTTAGGCTAACCAGACAAAGACAGTGAAGTTGCTATTTTAACTGTGCTCAGTGGGTTAAGATGTGTTCATCACTGAAGAAAAAGCAGAGAATGTAGGCAAGTGCGTGGAAATTATAAAATGGAAACAAGTGAGCCAGACATGGTGGCGTGTGCCTGTGATCACAGCTACTTAGGGGGCTGAGGCAGGAGGGTGGCAAGTTCAAAGCCAGCCTTGGAAGTGTAGAAAGATTCTGACTCAAAATGAAAAAATGAAAGATCGTGGGGATATAGCTCAGGGGTAGAGCACTTGCCTAGCATGTGTGGGACTCCTGGGTTCAATTACCAGTACGCACACACACACACCACAAACGGAAATTCTAGAGCTGTAATATACAAGATCTAAAATGAAAAATTCACTGACTGGGCTTCATAGCAGAGTGGAGAGGAGAAGTTAGTAAATTTGAAGCTAGATCAATAAATTTTATCCAATTTGAAAAAGAGAACAAAATATTTCTAAAAATAAATGAGCTACAGCCACCAGTGGGACAGTATCAAATGTCTAAGATAAGGTAGGGTTAGGAAGAAACAATGTGAGAAAATATAGCTGAAGATCTCCCCAATTCAGGAAAAGACAAAATTGAAGACAAGAGAAAATGAAGAGGAACATGGAAAGCACAAAGGAGACAAGAAGAGAGAGCGGGCGAGGTCAGCTGAAGACTGAAATGTGGAAATATCTAAAATTCACTGAGCCATTTGTGTGCAGAACACATTCATTCTCATGTGTACAAAGTATGCAAGTTGGGTTGGATTGGGTCATGCGGCCAATTCCAAAAAGAAACAGACTGTAAGTTCTATGAAACAGCACCAGGCGAGACTGTTGAGAATGAACAAACGGGCTGCATCCATGTTTGTCTCTGTGTGTGCGCGTGTGTTTGTGCCCATGTACAAATTCATCACTGAGTCCGAAGGGAACACTGCTGATATTCCAGCCCAGCTTTTCCACACTTATCACTGCTATCTCGGTCCTTAGAGACTGATTTGGAGAAGATTTAATTCCCGCTGTACTTCATACTTCTTTCCTACGGTCCCAAGCACCTGGACCATGAACATTTCCGTCTCCCCATCACCCTAGTGGGGTCCACACCATTGGCTGTCCTGTAGCCCTCCTCCTCCACACCCCTACTGCAAAGCCTCATGAACTCCCTATCACGTCCAGGACAAAGACTAAACCTTTTTTTCAAATGCTCTTCTGGACTGACTCTTCTAGCCACAACCTGACCCACATCCTTCACTGAAAATACTCCACTGGGTCTGAGTACGCAAAGCAGGCTACGCAAGCATCCAGCTTTTCTATGGCTGTTCTCTCTGCCTATGCATAATGAGCCTTCCAGGGCTGGCTGTGGTGGCGCACACCTGTAATCCTAAGATCCCCCAGGACGCTGAGGCAGGAGGATCACTGTGAGTTGAAGGCCAGCCTGGGCTATGTAGTGAATTCAAGGATAGCCTGAACTACATAGCAAGACCCTGTCTCAAAAAAACAAAACAAAACAAAAAAGCGCCTTCTAGCACTACCACCTCTCATTCACAAACAGCTCACCAGCTCCCGGGCACCATGTAATGACATGGGCCCAGCCCTGGCCAGCACCCTCCACCTGCCTCCCTAGGCCATGAGCTACTCCAGGGTGGCCTGTGTATGATATATGGACCCCAGTGTATGGGCAGGCACATATGGGACATGCTTGATACCCTCTGATGCAAGGGTACTTGCCAAAATACTAAATTCAAAAATGTAAGTTGACCAAATACTTGTTTTAGAAAGCTTTAAAGGAAAGAAAAACTAGAAGAAAACATTTGGCTCTTCTACATGCAAAGTACAACCCAGCCAAAGATGACCGTGCCCATCCACACTGGCCAGAACGCGACTGAGAAAATCATGAAAAACATGCAAGACTTCAACTGCTCCTCGGGGACCGTGGGGAGAAGTCAGAAGAGGTCATGAGCAGTCGCCACGCGTACCTGGGCCAGCACATCCTGGAACTGCTCCTTGGTGAGTGGGAGCAGGAAGGTGGTGACGATCCTCCTCAGCTCACGCCTCGTCACTGCCAGGTTCTGGCCAACATCGAGCAGCTGGAAGGCTTTTTTCAATTCATCCCTTCTGTCGGTGATTTTTTGAAATAAAATCTGCTTAACATCTAAGAAGGAAAGTATCGGATTTGCAGCAGCTGAGGCTGTAAAAGGGATACAGCAATTAATTAAAAATGCATAAAGCTAAGAGAATAAATAAAACTCTTTGCACTGAATCGGGACATTTCTTCTGCTAAATTTAGGTTTCTGTATCTAATCGTTGGGTGGTTTATAATGGAAAATCTACAGTCATTTTTTCTCCTGTGAAATTTGGTACAGAGTAACATTAATGACACTAGTAAGCAGGAAAAAAAAAAAAAACAGGAGACAAAGATAATCCTCCCTATCAGGATATGAGAAGGAAAACATGAATACTGGAAGAATTTTTAGCTAAGAATAAATATCATTCAAATCAATTTTTAAAGGTGCATATTCACCTTTCACGGCCTTCCCAATTTTTGAGGAGGGGAAAAGGTATGATTCTTAAACCTAGATCACTTCCCTTCCTAAGACAGGAAGGAGTGAATCCCTAGACTTGGAAAGGAATTTTTAGAATGCTCTAAGCAAGTGTGCAAGGCTTTGGTCAGCCTGGAAGGCAGGGTCCTGACTCATGTTTTAGGTCCCAAGGGTCTGAGTGTCATCTCTGGGAGGTGACAGGTGATGGCTCTCCCTCTCCTCCCTTTCAGGCGAGAGCTTCAGGAACATTTGGATGTGGTGCCCATCAGCACAATGTGCATGAAGCTGTGATTATCCAATCTGATCTTCTACAATCAGCTAGGAAAGGGGAGGTTAAAAGGCATGGTCGCTTGGCAAATCTCTCACATTTACTATGTAAGCTGACAACCACTGTTTATTCAGTACCCTTCCTTACCCAGAAGCTGGGGGTGTTGTTACCCAGCTTTATTGCCGACTCATCTTTCCAGTATGTTCATGGCGGAGCGGAGAAGGGGTGGGTCCTGCTACTTCCCTCGGGATGAGGATCTCTCATCAGCCACTGAACATTTTCACCCCGAGGACAGGGACAGCTGTAGACTGTGGGTGCCCTGGGCCAGGTCAGAGACTCAAGGACAGGATCTCAGTGTCAACTTGAGCCCACCCTGAAGGTAGCTGGTGACCTCCTCACAGCAGAGCAGGCCCTGGTCTGTGTCGCCCGACCGAGTGGTACAGAGGGTGGTGAGACTGGCACCCTGCCACACTGCGGTGATTGGCCACCTGCCCCTCCTTGTGAGGTTAGATCCTGAGAAAGTCCTGGGACCACGGTGACCCAGGACACGTTTGTGCTGTTGCTCTCCATCCTTGCCTCTCCTTGGTGCCGAGGACAAGAAGGCCAGAAGGGGCTGGGGACGCCCTTTGATTTCAGTGCCCACTGCCTCTTAGAGAGAGGTGGTCAGGGAACCTGGACAGGGCACTGAGGTGAAGAGATGGGCATGAGGCATCTAAGGGACCACTGGAGACCTGGGAGGGGGGCTGGTGGTCTTGGAGACAGGGTACAAGGCCTCAGGGAGGATCTGCTCTTGGCAGAACATGGGGACACTTCAGCTGCCACGGTGTCCCCGAGAGCAGGGAGTGGGCTGGAGGTTGGGTGCTCTGGAGCTCAGGCAGAAGCAGGAACCAGCAGAGTAGTCGCCACCAAGAGGTGGGACTGGAAGCATCCACAGCAGCCCAAGCATGGACAGCCCTGCCCTCAGAACTCAGGCTCTGGGTGGCAGACCCGAAGCGGGACCTCCATCCAGAGAGTGAGACAACCCTATTTCCACTCACAGCAAGGAGGAAGAGGGACAGGAGGGCTTGGCGGTGCAGACCTACGGGTGATTCCAGCTGCTGGGCAGTGTAACCAAGGTCTGTCTCAGTGAGGTGTTCACAGAGCAAAGAGCAGGGGTGGGAGATGGGATTTGATCTACTGAGGAGGCAGGGGAAGAGGACGGGGCTCGGGTGGCTGGGCAGGTGGCCAGTCATGCTCCCCCAAGACAGGGCAGAGTAGGAGAGGAAGTAGGTGGCTGCTTCCGAGGCAGCCACAGCACAGACTCTTGCCACCGCATCTGAATCCTCTTCCCCAAAAGCGCAGGGTGTACGGGTCTCCTTGCATCTGGATGCCTGTGACGATGGCACAGTGGGTCTATGTCACCATGGCATAGGAACTGTGTTTCCACAGCTGAACGTGGCATCTCCAAGACCAGGTCATCAGAGGCATCTGGGCCTCTTAAAATGCTCATACCCTGTCATCACGTTGCTCTGAGGAAGCCACAGAACCACGTGGAGAGGCTACAGGGTGGTTTCCATTCCAGCCAACAGCCGGAATCAGGTGTAAACCCTCAAGTGAGCCCACTTTCAGCCACATTCAATGTCTGCACCTCATGCCTGGCCATGAGACCCGCCCAACCCCAGAGCTGTGAGCAAACTGTGCGTCTGCTGTTCTCCAAGCCACTGTGTTTGCAGTCTCTGTCCACAGAAAAAGCTGCCTGGCACAGAAGAAGGGACGGTCAGTGGCAGAGCCCACGGCTTCAGTCAGGGATAGCTAAGTGGGGGCGTCCATTGAAAGCTGAGTCCTCCATCTGGAGATCGGAGGAGGTTGGGGCTGGAGATATGGTGTGAAAGCCAGCAACCTGCAGCCTGCAAGACGTGGGGAAGTGTGTACCAAGCGGGCGGGCCAGACAGGAGGCCCCAGAAGTACTAGTTTTTCAGGAATATACCTGTCGCCTTTCAGCCACTGCTGGTGGCACAGAGGGTACCACAAGGGAATGAGCAGCTACAGCTTCCAAACCGGAGGTGAGGAGAGCAACAAGGAACAGACATCAAGAAGTCCCCAGGAAATGGTAGAGTGACGCGTGTGATGGAGACAGCAAGACAGGTGCCAAGCAGGGGACAGGAGCACAGGCATGGTGGGGAGGGGCTGTTTGAGATGGGAGAGGGGGTCCAGGAAGCCCTCTCCAAGACGTTTCATGAGCTGGGCCCCGGATGACAGAAATACAACCACCACTCAAAGAGCAGAGATAACAACATCCAAAAAGAGGGGGCTTTGCAACTGGCAGAAAGCCTAAGCAAGAATGAGCCAGTGTGTCATTGCTGGGGAAAAATACCCAATACCATAAATGAAAGAAGGAAAGGCTGGTTTATTTTAGCCCACAGCGCACAGTCAGCTGGCTCTAAGGAAGGGTGACATCACAGAAGTGAAACAGTCCACCGCAGGGGAGGCAGGAAGCAGCATGCCTCCCTTCCCGCTTTATTTCAGTTCAGCTACGAGCTCTTTGGTTGGTGCCACTCACACCCAGGGTGAGTCCTCTGTTTTCGGTAAATCCATTTAGCCACACCTAGAACTCCGCTAATTCAGTCAGTACAGTAATTAATTCAGTTATAACATACCCATGATCCAACCACCTCTGAAAAGCCCCACCTACGAGTGCATGAGACCTTGGGGGCACATCTAGATACAAACTATAACAGTCAGTATGTCCCTAGAGGGGACAGCACCGTGTGTGTCAGGAGGGAGGCAGAGCAAAAAGGGTCACTGGGGTTAGGAAGGAAGCAACAAGCCCAGCATGGTGACACACGCCTGTTAACCCAACACTCTGGGAGGCTAAGGCAAGAAGATTGTAAAGTTGAGCCCAGCCTAGCCAGCCTAGTGAGGCCTGTCTCAAAATTTAAAATAAAAAAGACTGGAGCTGCGGCTCAGTGAAAAGGTCCTGGGTTCCATCCTCAGTACTGGCGGGCAGTATTAGTGTATTTTTTAAATTGTTCTGGCTGCCACATAGAGAATGAACTACAGGGGGTAGGAAATGAGGAAGAATACCAGGGAGGAGGTTGTCCCCAAAGACCAGAGGAGGTGGGGTGGCTTGAGCCAGGTGGTCACCTCAGACGTGGACAAAGAGTAGACTGATTGGGGATGGAATCTGTGGGTTCTGGAGTGACAAGGTCTTTAAGAAACAAAATGAAATCAAGGAGAACGGCCTGGCACTGGACTTGAGGACACAGGTCAATGAGATGACAACGCCCTGGGCCACACAGGAGGGCACAGGGTGGGGAGGTCCTTCAGCCAGCTCAGGAGGAGCTGTCTGGTGATGAGACTCCAGCAGAAGGCCCAGGGAGCAGCCAGCTGCGTGGTCCAGGGCGTGGTGAGGAGTCAGCCAGGGCCTGAGGTGGCACTTCAGGGTGTGGAACTAGGGGTTTCCCTCAGGAGAGGGCAGACAGACTGGAGACGGAGCACAGGATCCTGAGGCAGGAGAAGCTGAAGCCTCACATAGCTTTGAGGATGCCAAGGAATTCGGGGGTGCCCCACGTTCGCTTAGACTCTCAGAAGCAAGACAGCCATGTGGGGGAGCCACATTTTGAGCATCAGCTGGTGTCCACCACTCCCACCACCTGAGTCACATAGGCGTCCTTCCTCAGATGTAGGCCTCCATCTTGAAACCTTTTCTCAGACTTTCCATGCATGTTTTAGTTGCTTTCCATTGAGTCCCAATCTGCACTAACTGTAATTTAGCAGAAAACACTGACTTAAAACTATTTGAAGGACAACTTTTTATTTCACATGGCTAATAACAATTTCTAAAGGCAAAAATGAAAGCAGTTCCCAAGCCTCCCTAACTGGCTGGTGGGAGCGCAAATCAATGTCATCCTTCTGGATTCCTACGTCGTTTAGGGGCAGAGTCACAGCAGAGCATCACTCTGGCTCTAACAAGCAGGATAAGCTAAAAATGGATATAGTTTCCAAACCCATTTGAGATCTGAGCCTGCAAAGGAACAGTCCCAGAAAGAACAAGTCGCACCTCAGTTATCTGAAGGACGTGTCCTTCTAATCCACAGAGTGGCTGAGGAAAAAGCAAACACGTTGTAGATGGAGTAAGAAGAAAGCAGCCCAGGAATGAGCAGCCACATGTGGTGTGGTGGGTGGATTAAAACACCAAGCCTGGGCTGGGGATTTAGCTCAGTGGTGCAACCACCTGCCTCAAAAGCGCAAGGTCCCGAGTTCAATACCAGGTACCAAAAAAAACCAAAACAACAACAACAAACAAACAAACAAAAAACGCCAGGGCTTTGGCCAGGTGCACATCAGGAAACTCCAGAGGCTGAGTGTGTGGTGAGAGAGCTGTGTGACACACCCAAGACC